CAGATCCAGCTCTCTCAGGTGTGAGGGGTTTGACCTCAGAGCTGAAGTCAGGGAAGAACAGCCTTCTTCTGTGAATGTGCAACCTGACAACCTGAGGAAAAGAAAATAAAATATTTATTCAGGTACTTTACTGGCCTGGCCTTTTTTTACTGGCCAGTAATCATTTGATAATACAGATGTTCATCTGCTTACTAACTTTCAACATACAAACTTTCAGACATACGAATGAAGAGGACTGTAAGTCCAAATTGTGTTACTTGTGCTCCAGTTTCCTGTCCGCAACATCAATTTTTTTCTTTCTGTGCATCAATTCCACCTAGTAAGACTTCTGGCCGCTACTCCTGCCGCGCAGCAGCATAGCGTGCAAACTCCCGGTATCCTAGTTCTTTGTACTTGCGTATACCCTTAAAATGATGTTGAATAATGACGTAACATTTCAAGTTACGAACAGCCATTTGGAACGTATCTCGTTTGTAAGTAGAGGAGCGTCTGTATAAAATAAAATAATTCTGACTTAAAGACAATAGTGAGCTCTCAGGGATTTATTGCTTAGTTGAGTAAAAAATATTTAATATCCACTAACACAATGATTCATCACTTGCCAATCTAGAGCCCCAAAACTACAGCCACTGCAGCCAGAATACAAAATTAAAAGCACCTTATTTTTATACTAGGTGTTAAAAGCTGCCCCATCCATAATCCTGCACTCCTGGCTCCCACTAATGACCCCAGCCAGCTCACATCTGGGAAGGTTCCCCCAGGAGCCTCTTAGCAAACATCTGGCTACTGCCTCCAGCCTGGCTGCAGTGCCATAATGCCTGTGCTGATTTGCCAAAGCCACAGTCTGACTGGGACCAGTTCTTTCTAGAACTGAACAAGGAATGAACAAGTATGTACTTCGAATCAATGCATCTGAAGACCAAATAAGAAGTTCGCAATATCGCTAAAGTCTAGGGTATTGTCATGATCCGCTCCGTCCGCCCCTGATGTGTGCCATGCCCACCTCGTTACCTCGTGTTCAGCCCTGATTGTGATCATCTGTGTCCTGTTAAGTCTAGCCCGTCTTTTGTATTTAGTCCTCGTCTGAGTCAGTCTTCCCCAGACTTGTCATTGTAGTGTCACGTTAGATGTCCGTGCCTGTCCGTCCCCCCATTAATAAACCCCGTTACCTGACTTCCTGGCTCCTGCTTTCCTGTTCGCCCGACCAGCGAACGTGACAGAATAACGGATCTCCCGAACAACGCAACGCAGCAGGGCGAGGACCTCTGGCTCGTCCTGCTGCATGAAGTCGCGTTTTGGGGAGAGCAGCTGGAGATCAAGGAGGATCCCACGCTGTTCGGCTTGGTCGAACGGAGCCAGGAGCTCCTCCAGGGAGTAAACCCTCGGACAGAGGAGCGCAACATGGAGGAAGTGCACTCCCTCCTGCAGCAGCTCGTCCGCCGGGTAAGGGAGAAGCGGCCCCAGCCGCTCACCTGCACGGAGGTAACTCCGCCCCCACCTACCGGTCCCGGACGGCGAAAAAAGAAGAGGCGAAGGGGAAAGGGTGAAGAAGCCGCCCCGACCCTCTTCCTGAGAGCCTGCTCTCTGCTCCCCGCCTGGGACGACACCGCCACTACCCGCCTGCTCGGTCCCAACGGAGAGCAGCCGCCACCGTTGGAGGAATACCCTTACCGGCCGGAGCGCTTGCACGGTAAAGGGATCAGCGCCGTAAGAGACGCTATTCCCCGGGTGCCGAGAGCCCTTAAAGGGGCAACGCCTTCTAGCCCGGCGCCCATCCTGGTGCCCGTTCCGGACCTGCGTGTTCCGGATCTGCCCGCGGCGCCGCCTGTT